ATCCTTTCTAAATTTCCAGTACAACTATAATTTGATTCTAGGTTATTTTTATTTAAAAAATTTCCAAAGTGTATTATTTCTAGCAAAATGTTTTTCAATTAAAGCAAGAAATTTGTCCAAACTTACTACTAACGAAATATGTGTACGAAATAATTTTTCTATTTCTATTTTTCTCAGGTTTTTATTACCATTTTTTCTTATAATTAATGTCAGGGCATTTATAGCCACTATCCTTTAGAGCTTTGTTATTTTATAATCGGGTTCGATTCTATGATGAGTCCCAAATATATGGCGAAACGGCTGTCCAGTGCTTTCTCCACTCAAGACTCGTTTAATTACTTAATTATAATATATAAAAAATAAAATAAAAAAATAAATAAATCTCCATAGACATTTAACCAGACTAGACGATGTCATCTTCCACTTTAAATTTAGACACCCCAACCATACCCTGACTTGACCTCTTTGAATGTAACTGAGATATTGATACAAAATTATTAACCCTTACGCCCCTTTTTTTAAAAATAATTGCTCGAGCCGTTACCATAGTAATTTTAATTTTAAAAATGCGTATTAGTTATTCCAAAAAAATTTCGCTTGGTACTTTAATTCAAATAATTATATTGAAGTTTTCGGCTCTTGTTTTGAAACATGAGAACTCTTATGTAGCGATGGAATCATATTTTTAAATACTCGACTCTCCCGTCGAATTCGACGTATGAGGGTCAAGCAGATTAGTTCCTAGGAAACCAACAGCTCGACAACAGCACATGAGATTTATAGTGTTGAAGGTTTCGCGCAGGACCATACACACTTTTTTGAAGGGCCGAATACAGAGACTTGGTGCACTACGTGCCACAAGGTCCCCAAACGACCCTCCGCGGGTTTGTCCTTCTCCTAGACCAGTTGCCATCCAAGGCTATAGAACCCAGTCTGGAGGGAGAAGAAGAGTATTCACACCTTTCCCAAGGGTATTAGCACGTAAGTGAATGTAATGGATTCGACTAGAATTCGAACTCGGTTCTCCGATTCCTCAATCCAAGCCGTGCCTTCAGTATATATATATATATATATATATATATATATATATATATATATATATATATATATATATATAGTTAAGTAACGAACATCTTGGTAATTCGTATGGATAATCCCATATAATTTCCTGTGAGTTGACCGATTAAATAGGTCAATGTCTGATCCTTACCCCCTCCTCAATATTAAGTATTATAATAAAAATAAAAATAAATTTTAAAACTCTCCCTTTCCTCTCTAAACTCAACCATGTCTCTCAGACTATTCCTCACCACCCTCTATGTTCACCTTATATAAGCTTAATACTGCCCTTCACAAGTGGAAATTTTAAATTAATTTTTTCAACTTTAAAAGTGAAGTCTGAAGATCCAGAGAAAATAAAATTTCTGGTGGAATACGTTATAACTAATGGAACCTTAAAGTGGTCTGTTTTTTTTTAAATTATATATATATATATATATATATATATATATATATATATATATATATATTTAATAAGCCGATTAATAAAATTTGAACAAAATGCCGACAAAGTGATACCAATATTGGCAATATAATCGATATTTATTATATAGTAATTTTTTGACTGAGTTGAAGCACGAAGAGAACGATTTTAATATCAAAATTTTCGAACACACCTATAATCTTTTTTAACGATACGGAAAATAAACAAACAGGTGGAACTTACACTTCCGAGGAATGCTGTTTGGTTAGGAGTCTCCTTGTGGAAATTATACTCTCTGGGTAAACCCAAATGTATGTTTAATTCGTCAATGTGTGAATTTATTTTGAAAATGAATATCAACTCCGATCTGCGGCTTTCTTGTCGGCTGTTGAATGGATACGTTAAAGCAAGTATCAGATAACATCAATGCTATGAAATGATTGGTTGAAGTGTGCAGCGACAAAGAAATTGTAGTCGTTGTCCCTGATGATTTTTTTTCTTATTGACTCGAAGATGGAAGTCCGCTCAAGCAAATATGTAAGATTTGAACTGACACAATTCAGAGCCGGTGGTTTGAATACTATGTGAGTGCCATACCAGTGGGTGTGAAATTACTATCAGAGATGATATGCTTACAGACTTGGCATAGGGGTTTATTTCAGATGATATTCCCTCGGTGAGGTGGTGAATTATGTATGTCGGATGACGTTAATAGTGTTGGTAGATTGGTGGTTACTTGAGCTGACATCTCGCGTGACGTGGGTTCTCGCTGAATATTTTTCCAATTGATTGGTCGAGTATATATATATAATACATTTTTATGTTTATACATTCTTTTTTATAGATACAAATATTTAAGTAAATGCTCTGTTTATAATAAACAGTATTAAACAACATTTACCAGCCTGAATGTCTGAGAAATTTTCATAGAAAATATTCGTCCTCCGACAGGAATCAAACCTGTATCCTATACGGAACCGTCATATAGCCTGACGTGCCTTTAACCGATTTAGCCACAGAGGAGCGTTTGGTTAGCAAGGTCGATTTTACTGTTTTTAAACTTCAATCTTACGTACATTCATATCTGCTCAAAGCGTATCCAAATGTAAACAAATGACGTCACACATTATGAAATGGACAAAGTCCGACAATCATTTTAAGACATTTTTATACGCTTTGGGGGATAGCGAACAGCTGCCTCGACGCATTTTCTTGAATCGCATCGACAACTTGAAATTTTGTTCTTTTCATGTGGGATTTGAATTTTGGAAAGAGGAAAAAGTCGCGAAGGGCGAGGTCTGGGGAATATGGTGGTTGTTGCTGTCTATCTATCTATCTATCTATCTATCTATCTATCTAGATAGATAGATAGATACGAATAGGAATTAGATAGATAGATAGATAGATACGAATAGGAATTAGATAGATAGATAGATAGATAGATAGATAGATAGATAGATAACTATTACATCATTTTAGCTATTACAATCTAGGATTTATCTGGAGCAAATACCAATAAATGATTATGGCGGAATTTGAATGTATTTGCTAATCAAACCCTTATAAAATCCTTGGTGGCAAATTGTTCTCATTCTGTTTTTCCTTATTTATATCAATTAATACTCGCCAGTCTTATTCACCTGTGTATTATTTGTCCATTTCTTCCACTGAACCAGAGTAGATGACTTTTCAGCAATACCAGACCTAGAGATTGAACTCACACAACTACCAGAGAACCATGTCACGTGTTCGTTTTTCCAACTGAACCAACGCACCCAGATTCAGGTATTGAGCTCAGAACTGTTAGGGAAACCAGATATTACTTATATATATATATATATATATATATATATATATATATATATATATATATATATATATATATATATATATATATATATATTAATCAAATAGACAATGTAATTCTTGGATAACGCAGTTATGTAATTTTTGAGTTCCACTTGGTGAACTTTTTAGTATCCTTTCTTTCTTAATCAGAGGCTCCAAAATGGTGTTCGTTACTATGCTAGGTCTACTGACGAGATTATTCTACGATTGCTTAAGATGCGCACTTATTCTTTTAGTCATCTTATGCTCCAGTGTTTTTTCTATTATCTTAAATTTCTTCCACAGGAATTAATGATAACATTTTCCCTTTCATACATGGTCAGCAATGACTGATTTCAACTTTTCTCCCATGACGATGTTGCCCTACCATTAATTCTATGAGGCGGCTGATATCTCGATGGCATTCTTTACCACGATGCTATGAGATGGAATAAACCCAGACCTCAATTGGCCCATTGTTAAAATGCTGGTAAAATGAGCGGCTAAGTGTACCATTCCAAAAAATAACGGAATATTTCTGCCATATTTTATATTTACAAGTGGCAGATAAGACAAAAAAACAACAAAAAACAAGAAACAAAACAAAAAACAACATAAAAACAATAAGAATTTAACAGAGGGTCTCAAGAATTCTGAAGCGTGAATACGCCTCCCCCACTCAAGTTAGCGATCGGCTAAAACAATTCGCGGAGGGAAGTTGTACCAAAGTGCGATATGAGTTTCTGTGACGCCACTCAACCTACTCTCTCTTCGAATCCAAGCTGCCAATCGTAATAAAATGAATAACAAAAATAAATGGCCCTTATATGTAGTAACGTAGGGGATCCAGAGACGACACAGAACTCAACAAGACGAATCAGCCATATTTCTTCTGTATTCCATTTGTAAGGAAGAGGTTCTAATCAGAGAGCATTTCCTGAAAGCTGTCGTGGAATAAAACTCCCACCTGGATGCTTCTTACAATACTACAATGTTATCCTCTTCATGTCAAGGGTTAATTATTATCCATCCTTATAGTCTTCAGTTATTTCTAACTCATCTTAAATTCAGACAGCACAACTAATTCAGTAACATTCTACTAGGAGTGGCTCTCGAGTCTTGTATTGTTTGAACTTTAGTATGAAAAATGTTATGATTCTCGTTTTCTTTTTTGGGGGAGGATGAGTAGGACTTGAATAATGGCTGTTAATCTTCTAACATAACCTTGAGGTGAGGTGGTCATATTTTATGGTAAATAAAAAACATATATTGTACTTTGTGAATCTGAAATGTGAATCTATTGCACAGATATCTTTGGATATCATAGTTCGTTAGAAACCAAAGTAGTTACGAATTTAAAAAAAAAAAGACTGTTTTCGAAGACGCGTTGGCAGAAGAAATATAGATTGATTCAACCTCGAATAAGAAGAATAAATATGGCTTCACATTCAAATGTACATACGTGAGTCGATTTTCACGCGGGGTGCCTACCTCACTAACAACGTACGTGTTTACTTAAAGGCTGGCCGACACCCACTTAAAAAAGAAATGTGCACAGTCATCATACAAAGGCATTTGTTTATTCTGCAGCCACTTAAAAAACACGTACATATATTAACCCATCAGCATCCAGGCCGTATAATGGCAGATGACATGAAAAAAAAAATGGCATGCCAACTAATTAGACAAAATGTTTATTTCCCGGGAAATAAAATCCTGCAGAATAATTCATCTATCTATCTATCTATCTATCTATCTATCTATCTATCTATCTATCTATCTATCTATCTATCTACTTAAGTTTCTTCATTATCTATCTATCTATCTATCTATCTATCTATCTATCTATCTATCTATGTTTATTTCTATCTATCACAGTCTGTTTCTATCTATCTATCTATCTATCTATCTATCTATCTATCTACTTAAGTCTCTTCATATTCATCTATCTATCTATCTATCATCTATCTATCTATCTATCTATCTATCTATCTTCATATCTATCTATCTATCTATCTATCTATCTATCTACTTAAGTCTCTTCATATCTATCTATCTATCTATCTATCTATCTATCTATCTATCTATCTATGTTTCTTCTCGACTGTTCTTCTGCTCGACTATTTATATATGCTAGTTAATGGCGCATTATGAGTAGCAAGGTCTATATAAGTTGGCCTGAATATTGCATTCAAGCATAAAAAAGGCTCTCAACGTTCGCTCGGTGTTGTCCTCAGTTGCAACCTCTATATTTACATGTCCTATCACTGATATTGAACATATTTACCCATAAACATAATATAGATATAGGATGTTCCAATAACTTGGACCCGATCTTAAACGTGAATTAAGTTTAAGCGTCTATTGATATTTTTCTTTTATCTTTCAGATTTGGTGGACATCTTGGCGATATCATTTTTCATTCATAATTGCCATGACTTAAATAACATGATCCAATGGAGAAAGAAAGAAATTTTCACCAATAATACTGATTTATTTACTGCTGACTGTGATCTTTGAAACACCTTTATACAGAATCCGTTTTCATGAAACACCCTTAACCACTCGGTCACGAGTTTATATATATATATATATATATATATATATATATATATATATATATATATATATATATATAAAAAAACAATCATTGAGTATGTTTTATTGATATGAAAACATAATCTGTTTAGAGCTGTTTACATTATTGTCAAAAAACTAATATTTTCATAGTGATTTTTCATACGATATCTGTTGCACTGGATATACATGCTTAAATATCTATTTATCTATCTGAGCGACACTTAGTGGAAAGTGCTTAATATCTGTCATAGAGCTAAGATATTCAGTTATATTGATATTAGCTTAGTTTCACGCCTTTGTGATGATGATCGCAAAAGCGTCAAACCCAGGATTACAAAGTAATATCAATACAACTGAATGCGCAGATGTAGTCGAGTCAATAAATATCATTTACGTCCGATGAAGTCATAATGAACGAAGCGCGTCACAAGAAAACTTTTCCCCTTTGTCACACACACACACACACACACACATATACACACACACACACACACACACACACACACACACACACACACACACACACACACACACACACACACACACACACACACACACACACACACACACACACACACACACACACACACACACACACACACACACACACACACACACACACACACACACACACACACACACATACACACACACACACACACACACACACACACACACACACACACACACACACACACACACACACACACACACAATAACATAACTTATTCATTTGCGTTTATTATACATTAAACGTCATCAGTTAGCATCGTCCATAATTTATTTTGATGTTCAATTTGTCTGAAGAATATTTCTGATCGTTCGTAAATTTAGAAATTCTGAAAAACTAACGATATTTTTAATTGTGTTCATAAATAATTGTTGCAAAATAAATCATTTCATTTGCCTTGATAAATCCATCAGATGACATCGTTTTTTTCTTGTCTTTATTCCCACACACGCCCATACACACACACATACCGTCATCGACCAAATTATTCAAAATCTGTCGCAAGAATTGAAAATTCGAATAAGTCGTCGGTCACCAAATAACCTTCAGGAATTCGAACATGTAACCATTTAAGGATGGAAAAAAATCCCAGAAAATACTTCTCATCAAAAACTTTAAAAAAACGATCGCAGCAAGTTATAAAGAAGAAAGGCCATGCTATTGACTATTAATTTTGTTAAAATTGTTCAATTTTTAAAATTTTTCATACAGTATGAATCATTTTGTCTTTTTCTATTTTGCATAATTCGCTTGTGAAATTTGTTGTATTTAGCCTATTGTTCTGAAAATTGAGTTTTATATTTCCTTTTTTCTGTGCTTATTAACATATAAAAATAAACCGGCCACATACGGGCATTAGATTCTGAGAAATGGATAAAAATATTCAAAATTAATGGGTTTACGAATAATTTTGTCGTTGACTGTATATATATGTATACAGTGGTGACATTCAAAAATTTTAAGAACGGATTCTCTCAGCAACAGATCTCAATAGCAATGGATTCTCACATTTTTCCATAGTCTATACTTTACTATACAGGTATAATTTAAGAATAAAGCAAATTTTCTTGTAGTTATACAAAAATACTAAAATTAATTTTTACATTGCACGTTATCATTTTGAAAGGAAAATAATTAAAAGAAATCATTAACAATTTTTTATTCATGATCTTTCATTTTAAACATTTCCAAATAGCCACTTGATTGCCATCATAGCCTTCAGCTTCTCTGTCATCATCACTGTGATTTTTTTCTAAGTCATATTTTAACGAAAGGAGTGGCATTCTATAAATCTAAAGGGAGACAAATAAGATTGTCATCAAGTTTTCAGCATTTTCCATTGTAAGGCGACTTCTTTTATCCGAGTATATAATATTTATTCTTGAAAAACCTCTTTCTGCCACGGAAGAACTGATAACTAACGGACTAATAATAGTTTTCGTTTTTTGTACACTTTGAAGAATTACAGGATTATGGAAGTTTTTCTGGTGATTTTCCAGGGAATAACCATTTCTTGAATATTCCAAGTATTAGCTGTAGCAAGTTCAGCAGTTCATGGAATTTGTATTAACCTTTATTCGATTACCTGAATTTACATCCCCAAACGATTATGTGGCTCTAAAATTAATTTTTTGTTCGACAATCTAAAATTAAGAACAGGTTCAACCTTTTTTTATATTCGGGATATAGATCCGACAGTAGCAGAAAAAAATTCGCTATGAAAGGCAGGAGGCCACTAGCAAAAGGGGTCCAGAGAACAGGTTCGCTGGAGATGTCGATTGACATTGCATTTGAATAGTTGAATTATAGCTATCAGGGAAGCAAGAATCCAGACAAGTGCAAGACAAAAGCTATTATAGAAGAGACGGCTATATATAACAGTGAAAGAGTAAATGTCAAATATATGGAAATTCATGCAGTTTGGGAAGAAAATAGCTCTTCAGACAGTTATGAAGAAAAAAAAAAAAAGACAGATATATTCACCTGTGAAAGAGCACTGGAGGTGCCAGATCAAGCACCACATTGCATATCCGTCTCTAGATTTTGTCGAGGACCCTTAACAGCGAGGACCCAGATTATATATGACAGCAAGTAGTTGATTTATAGATTTGTAGGATGTGAAAAAACTAGAGAGAAAGGATGAAGATTGATCTAAGACAGGTAACCAAAAAGGGAATAGATCAAGGTATCTGGAGATGTCGATTGACATTGCATTTGAATAGTTGGAGATTATAGCTATCAGGGAAGCAAGTAAGAGGAAGGGAGTTGCACAGACGGGAAGTGCAAGACATAAAGCTATTGGCGTAGAAGAGACGGCTACATTTAGTCATTTCAACAGTGAAAGAGTGGGACTGAGATGTCAACCTAGTGGCACATTTAAATTCATGCAGTTTGGGAACTAGCGAAAATAGCTCTTCAGAGCAGTTACTGTGAAAGTATTCGTAGAAAAGACAGAGGGAGGCGACGGCACGTCTGTGAGAGAGCGACTGTAAAAGAGGTGCCAGATCAAGGCCAACCACATTGCATATCCGTCTCTAGATTTTGTCGAGGACCCTAAGACGAACAGCGAGGACTCCAGATTATATATGACAGCAGTGTTCCATGCAAGGGCGAATAGTTGATTTATAGATTTGTAGGATGGACTTGGGCGAGAAAAACTTTCTAGCTCGACATAGAGAACCAACTTTCCTTGCGGTAGATGAAGCTATTGATTCAATGTACAAGGTAACCAAAAAAGTTCTGTCCGTTTTTTGATTAGTCATTGAAGGAAGTTGAAATATATACGAAATGCGTGTAGCAATTGTTTTCAAATTCGGACAGCCGGAAGTAGGAACATCAGACATTATAAAAAACACGCGCACCGTGTCCGGCCATCAGTTATAAGCTGGACAGCTGTGAGAAGGATGGAAGTGTGTAGAGATCTCGTTCGGGGCTGTTTGCTTTACGACTTCAAAGTGAGCTTATCAGCAGCTGCATCAAGTCGCCGCATATGTCAAGCGTTTGGGGATAGTGCTGTGGATGAATGTACTGCAAGGCGTTGGTTTCGAAAATTCAAGTCGGGAGATTTGTCTCTCCATGATGAGACTCGCAGTGGACGACTACAGGTCGTGAATGACGGAGTCCTGAAGGCGGTCATTGAAGAGGACAGTAGTCTAACTTGTGGTGAACTTGCAAGACAGTTCAATGCTTCCGATGAAACAGTTAGACTTCACCTGCACCACCTAGGTAAGACGTACAAACTGAGCAAGTGGGTTCTGCAAACACTGTTGGCGGTCTGCAAGGGACAACGAGTGGCAGCCTGCGTATCGCTGCTTTCTCGCCACCATACCGCATCCTTATTCAATCGAGTGTTTACCAGTGATGAAAAGTGGGTTCTGTACGAAACTCTCAAGCGTTCCAGACATTGGTTGTCTCCTCAGGATGCTGTCCCTCACACCGCAAGACCGCCTATGCACCCACGCAAGATTATGCTTTGTTTCTGGTGGACAGGTCGTCAATTGGTTCATTATGAACTGCTACCCACAGGCCAAACGGTCACTGGAGACCTATACTCGCAGCAGGTATTGTGCCAGAAGGATCCAGCACTGGTGAATCACAAAGGTGTGCTTTTCCTCCATGACAACGCCAGGCCGCATGTCGCGCGAGTGGTCAGGGATACCATACAGCAACTTGGGTGGGAGATTTTGTGCCATCCACCTTATTCACCTGACCTTGCGCCATCCGATTGCCACCTCTTCCACTCCCTGGATAATCATCTTCGTGAGAAATCCTTCACCAATGAAGCAGACTTGCGCAAAGCCCTCACGGACTTCTTTGCGTCGCCACCCCACCGAGTTCTACCGCAAGGGCATTGAACAGCTGGAGACACGTTGGCAGAAGGTGCTGGATGCCGATGGCGATTACTTCGAAGACTAAATATAAGTTATACATACTGTGAAGCGTTTTCTTTTTTTCCTTTAAAAACGGACAGAACTTTTTTGGTTACCTTGTAATTGTTCCATCTCAGTCAAGCATGTTTCGTTGAATAAACTAGACACATTATGTCTATTTATTTTTATTTTAATCCTATCAAATTCATGGATCAATTTCTTAATGTTATTATTAAACGGATTAAAGAAGAAGCCGTAGTTATTTTCATTTCTTTTATTTTCCCAAGTACTTTCAATCTCATCCACCATCATCTTCAGGCCTAAATTGCTGAGACAAAAAAATTAATGTAATCGATAGTTGTGATTTTATGTAAATGCGCATGAAACGCGCTCTAGTCAATTTAAAAATGAGCTGTTAAGAATAATATGCCAGTAACGAGGTACCTTAATTTATATTTTTTATTACTAATTTTTTTAAAATACTCAACCTGCAATTTTTAAATACCAAAGATGAACTGAGGGCAATGTTTATGGTAGCATTAACCAGCTTAAACAAGGAGACCACCCAAAAGAGTTGCAGGAGATTCCAAAGTCATCTGTAGGCCGTGGTTGAAGCCAATAGCAATTTTACTGAATAAATTTACTCTTTAGTATTTCAAGATATTTTTTTGTAATTTTGATAAATATATCTGTTAAAATGAGATGTCAATGTTATTTTAATTTTAGCCAACCATTTATTCATCTCCCCCTGTACACTCCGAAAAATATTTGTGTAAACTACTAAAATCTCTATTCCTACGCCTTATCCCCCCTCTCACTCTCTTGTTGGAGTAAAGGATAGCGGCTCGGATTGAAGAATCGGAGAGCCGAGTTCGATTCCCAGTAAAATCCATTACATTCACTTAGGTGCTAATAATACCCTTGAGAAAGGTAGGAATCCTCTTCTTCTCCTCCTCCAGCTAAGGGTAAATAGCAGGACAGACCGGGTTCTACAGCCTTGGATGGTAACAGGTCTACCGCAGAAAGAAATTGCAACCTACTGCTGGAAAAAAATATACTTCGACAGTCATGTATCGAAAGATACATAATCGCCTAAGCGTGTATCACGCACGGCACATAACTGATCTATCTATCTATCTATCTATCTATCTATCTATCTATCTATCTATCTATCTATCTTATATTGTAATGAACAATAATGGAGGATATTATTAACAGATGGGTGCTTCTTTTGCTCAGTGCTACTAAAGTTTGAATTTTACTAGTGACTTTTGGGTCCATTTATAAAAAAAAATGCTGGGCTAACTTCGGCTACGAATTAAAAAAATGTCTATTTAAAATTTAATATAGGTAGGATTTCACAAGCATCCACAATTATTCTTCCACCAGTTCAGACCTTTACAGCAAATATGCTACTTCCACGAGATTGGGTAAATAGGAGGACAGATAGGATTCTCTAGCCTTGGATGATATCTGGTCTACCGCAGAAAGAAATGGCAACCTACTGCGGGAAAAAAATCTGCCTCGTCAGTCATGTATCAAAAGACTGACTGACTTCTATAATGACACCGATCCTCATTGGGTACCTTACACTCTGCAGTTAAACTAACCTTTGTAAATAACTATAGCGTCTTGGTTAACAAGCAAGTTACGAAGGCTATTATTATTTAGCGATTTCAATCACTCATTGGATGCCTCATACGCACCCAGTTGAGTATATGCCTATATATATATATATATATATATATGTGTGTGTGTGTGTGTGTGTGTGTGTGTTTAACCAGTTTCTGTCTTCTCAATTTCTCACTCTTCATCCCGCCCCCATATATATGAGTACTCCAGAAAGAAAATTACCAAACCCCAACCTTTCCCGATCCCTTTTACATAAGTAAATCAAGGTATTCGATAAAATAAACGAGACGGCCACCAGAGATATATGTTTTTCTTCCCCCTCCACTCCCCCGGGCCAGTTATCTATTCACTGCAACAGAAAAAGAAATTAATCTTTCAGTGAAAGTAGACATAAGTGGTCGAAATGCTAGACAGAATCATGGCTTTTATAAATGGTTTGTCTGCAGAGGCCACGTCCGATTCGTTGGCGTGCGTGCCTTGGGTAAATGTAAAAAGACGTCGAGGAATGAGGAAACGAAACGAAGAAAATAAGAATGTTACTCCCGAAAGAGTGAATGCCTTCGCATTGATAGAGGTTGGCTTGCGTTTACTTTTTCTGTAGTTGTAGAAACATAGAGATTCGATGGCAATAGAGAAGCAACAACCTACCATGAAAAAAAAAAAAAAATGCTCATATTTCCATCGTAGGCTGCTTTCATTTTTATCTTAATGTATGGAAGCCTGGTCTAACAAGCTTTTAATTGTGATTCATTTCTTTAGTTAATGCTCTCAAAACTTGTTCACCTTTTTTTTTCTAGTTTTACTGAGAAATACACACATTTCATTTCATCAGAATAAATATGAAGCCAATTACCTTGCGTGACGACGTTACCCGGCAAGAAGTGGATGATTATTATTATTATGTTTTTTTTTTTTTTTTTTTTTTTTGCGAAGTAACCTTTTTGAACCAGATGAAAAAAGGCCTTTTTAAGTTTGGTTAACCAGTTCCATGACAGATGAAAAAGGATTTTCCATTTACATTTAAGAAAGTAATGTTATTATTATTGTGTTTTTTTTTTTCTTTGCGGAGTAACCTTTTTGAACCAGATGAAAAAAGTCTTACATTTATTAAATTTGGTTAAATAGTGGTTATGCCGACAGTACGCATCATCGTCGTCATCATCATCATTCTCACCTGACCAGCTCCCTTCATATGTCACGGTTGCGTGCCAATATTCGAGTCTCTGTGAAGGATCTTCCATTCCGCCCAGTGACATTGTCGGCCATTATTTTTTATTATGTCTACCGTTTCATGTATTGTCTAAGACGTTTCCTTGTAGTGAAAATATTGTACACTCTTATGACGTGGCTGTGCCATTTCAAATTTCTCTTTCTAATGGTGGTCATGAGGTATTTCGAAGCACCTGTTTCTTATTTCATAATATTCGGCTCTGTGAGCTTTGTGGCACTGTCTACATAGGGGATGGCTAAAATTCCTGCTCTAGCATCTCATTTCTACTGGATTCTTCGCTGTAATTCCGCTGTTTATGCCCAGGATCCAACAGTTTGATCTTTGATTTAAGGCAGAGTTTTTTTACCAGGTCTTTTTTTTACTTTCACGACAACTTTTGTTACTGGAATTCATTCTTAAGGATGATTGTTTTAAGCCAATTATAAAACTGTAGAGGTCCGAGGCGGGGTGAAGATGAAAAGAAAACACGTGCGTTTATATTTCCTGCTAGAAGAAGGTCCAGAAAACAAGAAAATGGCGGACTTGAATTAAGTCCAACTGAAGATAAAGACAACAAACAAGACATATATATATATATATATATATATATATATATATATATATATATATAAACAAATATATGTATTAAACAAAACAATTTTACAATGGACAATAACATTTGTGTGTGTGTGTAACATTGGTGTTCGTGTTTTGGTGAATGTTCGTACGTACGTGTAAGTGTGTATAATATTCATGGCGTCTTCCCACAAGTGGGAAACGCTATTTCCTAAGAGAGCTTACATTGTAGTCGCTGAAATGAAGAAATGAAAAAGAGGATTTACCTCACCTCCAAGCGAGGTGGGATGCGGCACGAGGCCTGAAGAAAAGACAGATCGAGGCAAGAAGTCGCCCAGTATTTATAGTATGGAGAGAGAGACCCCAAGTGACAATTCGGAAATTAAGGAGAAGATAACTCCGACAAAACTATAAAATGCTTACCTTAAAATAAGCATTTGAAATTCTGACTTTTATCGCTTCTATCGATTTATAAAATTCTGTTACTTCCATTAATCCATTCGTCTCTCCGTCTATTCACACAAGTTCGTTATGGAGGTTATCCGTTGCTTTTCTGTCTTTCTCTCTTGCCTTCAATATGTCCTTGTAAGTGTCAAGTTCTCTAAGCTTGCTTTCCTCATTATGTGCCATAGAATTTTCAATTCTTTCTAATTCTAAGTATAATTATCCTTTTTGTTATAATTTGCTTTAAAGCTTCCTTGTTACTCATAAGTTCAGGCCATGCTATTCTCAGTATCTTTCTGTAGAACCACATCTCTGTTGCCTTACTTCTTCATCTGTGTGGACATTGGGCAGCATTCACTTCCATGAAGGAGGAACGATTTTGGGAAAATGTATTAAAATACATTAAAAGAATGCCAGTTGGAAGAAAGGCATGAAGAAATTTAAAGAACACTCACAGAATGTTTTGGTTAAACACAACGAATACGAAGATATTTGTAAGAAAAAATACGAAAAATGAAATAAAAAAAATGAGTATAATCAAAACAATTTCTTGAAAATCGCGATATAAATACTTTAGGTAACAAGCAAACCAGTTGCCTATCTAGCTGGGGTTTGTTCATTCAAGATGCCAACAGATTTTCTGGTAACTTTCATTTTACTTCACGGCCATATTTGCTAGACGGATACTTTTTGAATAATTCCTATATGAATGTCGACATTTTTTTTTTATGAGGACTCAATAATATAGTCTAGATAGCAAGATAGTTCACTCAGATAACTTAATGGTCATGACTTGTATATTGATCAGACCAATGTCAATACTGATGGGCTGACCAGATTACGCCATGTTGGACAGATTTTTAAGTGGTGAAGACAACGGACGTTCTTGGGAAAAAAACTAACTAAATCGTTTGTTTTTTTTTTTAACTTTATTTTTATATTGTTATTGTATAGCGAGTTTGAGAAGATGCCGGAGTTTTATTTTGTATTTTTTCCTTTTTTTTTTTTCGCTACAAAGAAAACCTTTTCTTCACAAGATCGTTGCATGCCAAGGAAACTGTATAACATCGCGTACAGTTGCAGTTTTAATATCCCAGACATTTTCATTTTGGGAACATATCTAGGACGACATTATACAGCCCCCCCCCCCTCATTGCCCAGCCTCTCCTCCATCTCACGCTACTCTTTCTATTAAAAGTCCCGAGAATGATCTCAATTTTAGCTGTGGCGAGAACTGCAGAGAGGAAATGAAAGTGGTTTTCCGGTATCACCATGATTTTCGAGTGCCGTGCATTTGTGCTTGTCAGTCATTGATTCGAAGAGGCTACAAGAAGAAGAGATTGTGAAATAATGATAGCAATATAGTTAAGATATTGAAACAATTATCGAGGGGTTTCAAGTTCAGTGCAAATAGACATATTTTGATAGATACTTGTTAAAATTAGCTCTATCTATCTATCTATCTATCTATCTATCTATCTATCTATCTATCTATCTATCTATCTCAGTCTGTTCATTATCTATCTATCTATCTATCTATCTATCTATCTATCTATCTATCTCATTCTGTTCATATCTATCTATCTATTTCATCCTGTTCATATCTATCTATCTATCTATCTATCTATCTATCTTCTATCTCATTTTGTTCATATCTATCTATCTATCTCATTCTGTACATATCTATCTATCTATCTATCTATCTATCTATCTATCTTATCTATTCTATCTATCTATCTATCTCATTCTGTTCATATCTATCTATCTATCTTCTGTCTATCTATCTATCTATCTATCTATCTATCTATCTATTCTATCTATCTATCTATCTCATTTTGTTCATATCTATCTATCTCATCTTTTTATCTATCTATCTATCTATCTATCTATCTATCACCATATATTGAAATACCGGTTCTCCTACGATCACAAAAGCAACGTCGAGCCTGGTCAGTACCTTGATGGGTGACCACTTCTCCGAATACCAGGTGTTGCAAGCTTGAATCTGTAATGGATAAAGGTACGGAACTGTAAATCTGAGTGCCGGGTTCGAATTTCAGTCAATTTTGTAATATTCACATGTAAATACCCTTGAGAAGGTATGAATCTCCCTCTTCTCTCCCAGCTAATTTGTAGAACTTCTATAAAAGTAAAAAAAAACAATAACATCTCAAAACAAATCTTACAATCTGATAATATTTTCTGGCACTAAATAACCTGTATAAGGTTGGTAAGCCGTAATAAACAACTTAAGCAATCAAATTATTTATTTTGATTATATGGTGCATCTAGTAATACTTCTTTCTACATGTAATAACTAGCTGACGTACCGGGTGTTGCTCGAGTGTACATAGCTGCGATTCTATAACCACACCCTCTCTATAGCCACACCTCTGTCTGGAAATGTTTGCCTGCGTCTCCGCTTGTATGCATCATCCGCTGTCATACTAAGCTACTCCCCCGCTCTTATTTTTTATGTTATGTCCTTCGCAAGTGTTTGATTGTTCTTAATAAAGGAATTCCATCGATAAAACCTTCTCGTGTGGTCGTTGCTCGGGGTTAAATTTTTTCAATGTTTTAGATATTCAGTAACTTTCCTATGGCCGTAATAACTTTGAAGTAGTATGGCATTGTTCACAAATCTAATAATCAAGTAAAAACAGGGATGAAGCGTCAGAGCTTGATTCAACTGCAAGTACAAACTCATGGACGCCCCTTTCTTCTTAATACACTTCCTCTAAAGCTGGGATTAATAAGAAGTTCTTCGGGAATTTTTCCCTTTTAACGCTCCAATAATTCTTCTCAAACAATCTTTACATCAAAGGGTGCTCGAATGCCAATTTAGGATGAAATCATATGAAGAAACTATTGGCTGAATGGCAAAAGTTGATTTTAGACCTAGTTTGTCGCAGATATCGTCCAGTTAACTGAAATAATTTAAACCAAACATTCACGCAATACAATTTGTGTCCCATATGTAATTTACATGGTAAATCTGGAAAGCACCGGATGAAAAACTAAGGGGTTATGACCGAAAAACTGGCTTTTTGAACAGTTTTTCGTTAAACGCGAGGATGCAAAACAGGACTAAAACCACATTATCTTATTTCTGTCATGATGGCAATTTTTTTGCGACATGTTTGAAGACAATCGGAAAAAAATCAGGAAGTTATTCAGGTTTTTTGTTTTAAGTCGTACGAAAAGCCCGATTTTTTCAAAGTTTTTTGCAATTTTTTGTGTAAAGCCGATGTCGCAAGAAAACTATCGAAGCACTTTACATAAACCTCGTAACATGAGCTGATGTTTTGCATTAAGTGCAAAGAACATCAGCTCATCCAGTAAAATTTTGTTCGCTTGAAACTTTGCCTTGGGTCTTTTGCAAAATGTCATACCTACCTTCAGTTTTATCGTTTTTTTCTGTCAAACCTGGTGGTTAGGGGGCTGGAGATTGAAACGTTGGTCTTGACCTATCTTAGTAAAATTACAACATGTGTGTACAATTTCGTCGAAAGCGATCGAGAAATATGAATGTGCACAAATAGCATACACACACAGAGACAGACACACAGACAGACATTTTCTGTTTTATAGATATAGTTAATAATAATAATAATAATAATAATAATAATAATAGATGGTTAACGTCTAAAAAACACGTTGGAGTGGAGTCTAGCAAATTTAAAGACGAGCATATTTTTCTAAAATATGCTCAATAAAAAAAAACAAAACAAAAAAAACAGTGCAAATATGTTTTAATCTGATCGTTGATAAAATCTACGAAGTCTATTTTCAATTTTTTTTTAAACACTGCCTTTTAAAGCGGCGGTATTATAAGAATATAAAATCAAACAATTGCATTGAAAATTTTGTCATATAATAACGTCCATTTTAACGCATAAATGTTGTCAAGTTACGATGATTTTACTATAGAACAGGTTCGAATTTTTTTTATGTAAATATGATAAGTGTACAGGTCTTTTAATTTTTTATCTATCTATCTATCTATCTATCTATCTATCTATCTATCTATCTTTCCCAGTCTGTTCTTATCTATCTATCTATCTATCTATCTATCTATCTATCTATCTATCTATCTATCTATCTATCTATCCCATTCTCATTCAAATTTATCTATCTCTATATTTCCGATTTACATCTATCTATCTATCTATCTAAATATAAATGACAATAGGAAAACTGGAGTTATTGCTGACGCGTTTCGTCCAATGTGGACTTTCTCAAAGCAAAAAACGAAAAGAATTTAATTAAAGAAAGTAACTAATAATAACAAAAAACAGAATGTTCTTAACAACTGGAGGAATGTAGAGAACGCTATTTTCATATTGTTAACGGAAAATAACGTCAATTATTGTCACGTGTGGAGAATATTGTCTTCTATCTATCTATCTATCTATCTATCTATCTATCTATCTATCTATCTATCTATCTATCTCAGTTCTTATGTATTTATCCCAATCTGTCTATATTTATCTCAGTTCTTATCTATATATCACAATCTGTTCATATCTATCTATCTATCTATCTATCTATCTATCTATCTATCTATCTATCTATCTCATGGTTTTTTGTGCAGTCTTATAG